CACACACATATATATATATATATATATATATATATATATATATATATATATATATATATAGTGATGATGACACTAAGTGATCATAATAGAATTCTCTCTGCCTAAAAAAAAAAATTACCTGGATCATTTCACATTTTCTCAATTAAAAATGATTTTGAGAAAATTACTTTTGAATGTATTTTCATTCCTTTTAATTTAAACTTTAATAAAATTGTATAATATATATATTTCTTGTAGCTGTACATGATTCTTTGTGCTTTTTAATCATTCAGATTTTTCAATTTATAGCCTAAATATGTATGTGACACAGGAAGACACAGAAAAGAATGTTGCAAATCAGTTGTCGAATAAAGAAATCCTACTTTTATAAGGGCATGGTTCATTATAGAATATTTCTAAATAAATGAGCATTTATTAAGCTGCTTTATTTTAGTTTGTGGAAGGTTACAAATATACATTAAGTACAGTGTAAATTCAATGTAATTACACTTATCTTCTTCATGATGTCATGCCATAATGTATATGTATTTTTGGAGTTTTAAAAAAATCTGAAATATTGATTGCAATACATTTCATGAAATTAAGATAAGGCATTAAGCATCAACCTGACATTTGTATGTTATAGGTAGCTATTACATTTTTTTTATTATTATTTGTCTCTGTCCAACAACTGAGAATGAGGGTTGAGTCTTAAGACTCTGTCCAAGTCCATTCTGGTCTCTCTCAACTCCAATTGAGATAACCTTCTCTGTAAGCCCTGATCATCATTTGATGAAGCTGCTGCATATTGTTCACTTTCATTTCTGGAAAAATAAATAATGACCGGTTATGTTTATAGTCATATATTAATAGTTTTTAATTGTTGTTCCAGTATCAGAAAGAATAGTCTGTTTCTTGGGTCTTAATCTTTCATTCACGTGGTGAAATAACACTTCAATTACACTCACCTGACATTAAAGCAGATTCATCCATTTCAATTGTCTCCTCTTCAGTCCATATTTTATCTATCTGTAAATTTAAGAAAATGGTCTTACAAAGTTATACAAACTAGATATGAAAACATGGTAAATCATTTCTTTAATTTCTTTGTTGAAATTAATACATTATTGTATTAACATACTACATTAATTTAATAAATACAAAATCTCATTCTACTGTATAAATAAAAAATTTGATTTTACAGGGGTTTTTTTACTGACTTGTTAGAAAAAGTATTTTTTGGTCTTACTTAACTCACTAAATGCTTGTTATGAGTGTCAAGTTTAAACCATATAAAATGATCTGATATCCTTGACATATCTGGCAATATTTAGACCAGACATCATAAATATTTTTCTGTCAAACAACTTTTGAAGGTACAGTGCGGTCATATTAAATGAATTAACCTGTAGGCTTTCTTACCTCAAACAGTATTAGCTGAATAGATTGGCCTTGAAATGTTGGCGACTGACTTACAGGTTGGACTTCAGGTTTTATCCTCACTAAGAAGATGATAACTCAAGTGTGAATATAGGTTTGTGTGAAATCTGTGATCTTAGATACCCAAGTTATACTCTTAGATGACTACCTAAAACACTAATTAATTTAGGATTGGGCTTCTATAAGTGTCTTTACTATAATACAGCTTAAAATAAAAATGCATACCATGCAGTTTCTTTATGCTGAAAAACACGGTTTCAGTTTACTTCATTCTGACAAAAGATTGTTAATTAGTACTCTGGGCTGATGTAGTATGGACCTGCAGAATACTCACCTCCTACTGTAATCTGCTGTGTTCTGTCTCCACTGATGACCTGACAATAGTAATCACCAACATCTGAGACACTGAAATTATTTAGATGTAAGGACACATTTCCTCTCTGCAGTACATGAGTGTCGAGACTCGCTTTGTCTTTGTAGTTTCTCCCCTCAATCACATGTCCGTTCTTGTAGATGCAAACACAATCTGTCTCCTTAAACCATTTGATCTGCATGGCAATGGCACAGATTTCAGGAGTCAAGTGACAAGTAACAATGATTTTAGACCCCATATAAATCTGTGCTTCTTGAGATGTTTGAGGAATAACAAGCTGAAAATCATCTGAGAGGAAAAGAGAGAAAGATGGTCTTACACGCATTACAAATTTCACCTTTACTTACACAAACACTACACAAAAATTGGTAGGTCAAAAATATTATATATATATATATATATATATATATATTCATATAAACTTAGTTTACAAAGAATATAAATTACAAAGCAGATATTTTAAGACAACTTACTGTTAGTTGGTTCTCTTGTCCTTTCATCCTAATTGAGATTAAATGGTTTTACAATGTATTTGCAACTATATTTACAGTTGATATAATAAGTTTCATTGTTTTTATATGTTAGGGTTACTATTACATTAAGCAAATTTGCAATTTAGCTATTTAGTATTTTAATGAGAGAGAAAGAAGATCTGCAGGAATGGTGCTGATTATTGAAAGGCAGTTTCTAAATTGTTTTACAATATTAAATTCATAAGATTAGTTTGATATTATTTGAAGGATAATTTACAATGGATAATGTGAAGGTAAAAGTTGTTTTCTTACCTGATTTCCTTCTGGAAATATTGGTGACTGACTCATAGACTGCACACCAGGATGTATCCTCACTAAGAAAAACATTACTCATGTGTAAATAGGTTTGTATGGAAATTATGTTCTTAGATAACTTAACTAATAGACATCTAAGTGGCATGAATACAACACTACATGTTTGTATCCAAGAATTCAATGCAGTTTCCTGTTCTAATATTCCAATGTTTTAATATTCCACTTTCATCTGATGATTTTCAAAGAGCATTTGTTATCGTCTACCTTGCAAAATTCAAACATGATTATTGGTCTTTTTTTTGCACTTACATCTCTTACTATTCATGTAGAATACTCAAACTCACTGTTTTATATAGTCCCTGTGAGATGAATGATTCATTTCAGATTAATTTTCATTCAAATTGGTTAAATGTTCCAGTGAAAATAATAACAAGTAAATTGGATAAAGCTGAAATATGCCCATATGTATTAGTTTCAGAACAGTTTACTGATCCCATACTGATGAGGATCTAACACACCTCTAGATTTCTGTTTCAGTTCAGATTCATTCTGATGTGACTATTAATGAGACATTATTAATGAGCACACTGATCTGAAGTAGAGGACTTCTCACCTCTTACTGTTATCTTCTCTCTTCTGTCTTTACTGATGACCTGACAATGGTAATTTCCAATATCTGACAGCCTGAAGTTTTTCAGTTGTAAGGACACATTTCCTTCCCTAAGCTTGTGAGTGAACAGACTCGCTCTGTCCTTGAACAAAACTCCTTCTGTCACCTGCCGGTCCTTATACAGGCAAACACAGGCTGTATCGTTAGACCAACTGATCTCCATGTCAACAGCGCTGATTTCAGGAGACAAGTAACATGGAATAATCAAATCAGACCCCAAAGAAAACTCTGGTTCTTCTGTTGTACTGGGAACAAAAAGCTGAAAGTTCTCTGTGAGGAAAAGAGAAAAGTGATGGACTCAAACTCTCACATCCTCAAAATGTAACTTCCTGTGGTTGAATAAGAAAGTTTTTTTTACTTACTGTTCAAGACTTCCATCTTGGCATTCCAATTGAGGTGAAAGCAAATGCAAAACTTTTGTTATTTTAGAAGTGCAACATTAAAAGTGTTTATTGAGTGATATATATATTTTTTTTTATTTATGCTTAATTTATAAATGAATCACGCAATGTATTCATGTGTGCACCTACCCCATGCTGGCTCTCGTTTGGTTCATTGTGATATGAAGCTTGGCTCAAAAAATCTATAAAGCAGAAAAAAAGCACACTTCTCAAATAAGATTTACATATCACACAGATTATGAGATATGATATTACAGAAATGTGTAAATAAATTTAATACTCCATATGTTCATATGTATATATAGGGAGAGCAATGTAATAACCCTAACCTAAAGACAAAAGAGGTACACAGTAATGTGGTTTTAAAGTAGACACATTATTACCCACATACACACAACATTACCCACATATTTTCTATCTATAAAACAATTATTTGGTATCATATAAAGCAGTCTTTAAACATCATATCACAAAATTATTTTTAATGAATAATGCACACTCATTTGATGACAAAGTCAATGATTTGAAGGCAACTTACCTTTGCTTTTGATTCCCATTCTGTTATCCTAATTGAGATTAAAACAAATACAGTTTAATTTATTTTATGATGTATTGTATGTGTATATATTAACTGTATGAATAGGCTATTAAAGGGGTCATATGACGTTGCTAAAAAGAACATTATTTTGTGTATTTGGTGTAATGAAATTTGTTTATGCGGTTTAAGGTTCAAAAAACACATTATTTTCCACATACTGTACATTATTGTTTCCCCTCAATGCCCCGCCTTTCTGAAACGCATCGATTTTTACAAAGCTCATCGTTCTGAAAAGCGAGGTGTGCTCTGATTGGCCAACTATCCAGTACTCTACACTGCTCGAAACTCGCGTTTGAATCATCAAATTCTTTAAATATAAAAACATACTTACAGGCTATGTGTCAGCATTATTTGTCAGAACACCGGCATTGTAGGCTACTCTACCAGGATCAGGAAACAGTCCTCATCCTCCACTGCACACATCTGAATATTTGGTTTGAACTGTCCTGGAACAGTGTTGTAAATACAACTTAACCACTGATTTCTAGTTGTGTCCTCTTTTGGAAGGCCAAACCAAGTAGTTTCGCTTTCACAACAAAACACAGCGTCTCCACGACATGGCGGCAGTGGGCAACAATACTACAGTGAGAATAAAAGTTCCGACTTCTCTCTTTGCGTAAACTTTTGGGTGGTGTTATGCAAATCTTCCCACACAGTGACTAGACATGTGGGGTGTGTTTAAACGAGGCGTTTTAGGAGGGAGTGGACGAGTCTTAACTTTTATAAAGAATATCTCTTTGGGTTTGAGACTTTAGTCTTTGCAACTTTAGGGATCTTATCTATTCACGAACAGCTTGTAACACTCCAAAGGAAAACTTGAAATCGCATCATATGACCCCTTTAAAGTGCACTGTCATATACCCCAGGCTGCTCATCTAGATGGCTTAGATCTGATTTGATGTACTGTGATGATAATTCTATAACAAAGAGAAAAAATAACCAATAAAAAATAAACCCTCATTAAAGGCAAGATCAAAAAAATTTATTTTCATACTTTCAGTGTTACATTAGTGATTTTTAGCATAGAACTTCTACTATTAATACAAATTATGAATTTAAATGTTAATTTTTAAATGTGCAATGCAAATACTACTTATTACAAAGAGTCAATGATTTCCAGAACTTACTGTTGTCTGTTTCTCCCTTGTAATCCTAAATGAGATTAAAACAAATAAGATTTTTTTCTTTTTCTTTTTTGGCTAAACATTACATTATCACACTCTTGTTTACATTCAGTGGAAACTGTAATATATACTACAGCATGCAAAAAAAAAAAAAAGGTTAAATAAAGAGAAGTTATATGCTATTTGTACAAAAGGTGAAACATGATCTGAAAATAGCCATTGCCAAAAAAAAGGATAATATAAGTGGCCAGTTGATAAAAACTAGAATATCAGAATCGACTGCAGACAGTAGATTATTTTCCTATTTTAGCACAGTCAGTTTAAAACATCTCTAGGTTACGTATGTAACCATGGTTCCACGAGGGAACGAGACACTGCGTCGAGTCGCTTTGGGAACGCCCTTGCGTGACCGCGTTCTGAAGCACGTGTCAGATCAGTCCAATGGAGCAGCGAGACGTCACGAGCGAGGTGATGTAAGCACCAGAAAGTATAAAAGCGCATCCAGCTGAGCGCAAACCAGCTTCGATGAAGTAGCACCTGCAGGGATGCAGGGTGTATGGCAAAGAGACGCAGCGTCTCGTTCCCTCAGGGAACCATGGTTACATATGTAATCTAGAGACGTTCCCCTTCAGGAACTCGAGCTGTGTCGAGTCGCTTTGGGAACGAGAATACCCACTGCGCCATACTACCAAGTCCCTGCCTGTGTGTGTATCTTGCGAGCACATCACGAAGAGAGAACTTGGGAACCTGGGGTAGA